AACCTACGAGTGGTGGACAAGAAGGAGCCCGACATGTTTTTCACAAAACAATGTTAGAAGATCTACCCAAATTCAAACCAAAGAAGAAAGGACATGTCTACAATACCCAATTCATGAGATGTGTTTATAGGCACTACTTAAATAGGTACTTTGAGGATGGATGTCCTCGTGGGAGTGCATGCAAGGTTAAAGATTTGAAGAAGTTTAACACCAAGGTTTCTGTATTGTTAAAGACATCAAAGAGGCATATCTTGATTATGCAGTGGTTTACATTGAACTTGAAAAAGACAAAGAGTCGAATATCCATCTTATGCACCATGAAGGGATCAAGGAGAAGATTGTAATTGGGGGTCACCTTGGAATTCTTGACAAAAGGGATCAACTTCACCACAATGTGCTTAACATCGTTGCCGTGTGTCATAGTTGCGGATGAAGGGTATGATTTCACTTCATCCTTTATAGAACATGCATACTCTTTTCATTTCATTGATAGGTACAAACCAAAGGATAACCAAGCTATAGATCCCGACAAAGTGGGTAGGAAAGACAAGGGGAGCAACACCACCAATAGGTTTTAACGATTGTGTCTGCTTCGAATGTCCAGGGCCTTAATAAGGTCTCTAAACAAAACTCTATCTTTACTTTTATTCGTAGTAATAATGTCTGTGTATGCTGTTTGCTTGAGACTAAAATGAATACTGTTGGGCCGCGGGTATGCGGTGTCAGCAATATGCCAGCCTGCCGGTGCAATCGGACCGCGTGGCGCTTCACATGTGCTATAAATGGGGAGGAGCGTGCTACACTATCAACGATTGCTTTTAGTGTAACGGTAAGCGCAACGATCCACAATTGGTATCAAAGCCAAGGTCACAGGTTCGACCCCCGGCCTATGTTTAAAAAACCGACCCGACCCGGCCGGGTTGACCCGGAACCCGGTGACCCGGACAAAAAACCGGTTCGGTTTTTTCAAAACCCGGAAATGGTCAAAAACCGAAAAAACTCGGCTGACCCAGGAAAACCCGGTCAAGACCCGGACCCAAGAAACCCTAAAAACCCGGTAAAACCCAGCTTTTGGGGGTTTTTACCAAAAAAAGTAATTTCTTTTTTATTTTCAATGCATTTTTTTTACCAATAAAATTGCAATTTCAATACCTTAAAAAGAAAAACTACGTAATATATTTATATATTTATTTAAGAATGAACATCATGCGAAATTATAATATAGATGTACAATAAAAATAAAAATATCATTATATATTTGTATAAGATCAAAATATACATTGAAATATTATAAGAGTGCATTAAATGCTTAATAAGTACTCCCTCCGTTCTTTAATATTAGTCCTCTTAGGCTTTGACACGAGTTTTAAGAGGAAAGTAATAGGGGTAGTGTAAAAGGTGTAATGAGTAGTGGGTAAATGAAAAAGTAGGAAAGAGAAAGGGGTAATGGTAATAAAAGTGGGGATATAAAGGTATATTGATTGTAAAAACTTTCCTTAAATGGAAAGAAGGACAAATAATAAAAAACATTCCAAAATGGAATGGAGGACTAATAATAAAGAACGGAGGGAGTAGTATTGTTAGTTGATTATTATGAATAATAACTAATTTTTATTATAATTTTATATATAATTATATGTTTACTATTATTATATAGACGTATAATAACTGACCGGTTTTCCGGCGTTGACCGGGTTAACCCACCGGGTCCGGGTTGACCCGTGACCCAGTCATGTGGCCGGGTCACTCTCTGGTCCGATTTTTACAACATAGCCCCCGGCAACAGCATGCTACGCTGTTGAGGCTGGCAGGTGCTGGGGGGGAGATTGTTGGGCCGCGGGTATGCAGTGTCAGCAATCTGTCATCCTGCCGATGCAATCGAACCGCGTGGCGCTTTGCATGTGCTTCAAATGGGGAGGAGCGTGCTACACTATCAGTGATTGCTTTTAGTGTAGCGGTAAGCGCAACGATCCACAAATTCCTCAAACTCTGATAAAGTTAAATCTAATAGGTGACCGTCTTGGTTATGTACTACTAACTTTGATAAGGTTGATGGTGGTTGTATCGCTATTATTTTGGACCCAAACTTTGTCGATATTAGTTTGTTGGAAATTGACAAACAACATGTGCATCGTGAAGTTAAGTGTAAGAATACTTCAAATTGTTTTCTTGGTAAATTTTGTGTATGCTCTTTATCGGTAGTGGAGAGAAGAGGCCTTTGGGAGCACATTGCGAACCTTGAACCTCATATTAATAGCACTTAGCTAGTAATGGGGGATTTCAATTGTGTGGGCAGCCCCAATGAGAGGGTGGGGCCTACCCCCGGCCTACGAACTTCAGCACCTAAATTCCTTTGGGCTAAACTAGTTCGAGTTCTCATGAATCCTATTTGGGGTACCTGTATCACTTGTAACACACATTTTGTTAAAATGGAAGTTGAATTTGACCATGTAGCTTCTCTTGTTACTATCGGTCAATCTACTCTTGTAGGGTCCAAACCCTTTAAGTTTTACAACATTTGGCTTAAACATGAGGTTTTCAATACCCTACTTACCACTCACTAGTATGGGGATGTTAGAGATTTTTTTGTTGTAATCTATGTTTAATTATTATGTCTCTTGTTGTATTTAATCTAGAATAAAATAGGTCAAAATAGAAAAAGGTGCTAAGGTAATAATTAGGCCACATTTAATAAGGGTCCAATCACTGTAATGACATACCCATTCCCTAGGCTATAAATATGCCTTTTAGGGAATGGATGCGACTGCTTTCCAACGCCTCACATGATATTCGCATGCGCAAAACATTTCTAAGAGTGAGAAAAGAGAGAAAATTTTACTAGAGTTCTTCATCATTTTAAACTTTCTCATTCTGTCATTCACAAAATCCATTCTTACTCATATATGAGAGCTCCATTTCATAGATTTTCTAGTAGAAAACAAGGATCTAACATCTGTATCAGAGTCGGAGCTGATCGATAGATTGACGATGAAAAATTTCTCTCATGCACGAACCTCTCTGCTTCGTGCGCGAACATGTTGTTGTTTCTATTTTGTTATTTTTGCAGAATAAAAAGCCATAATCAGTGCTGGAAGATGGTTTAACATCAGCTGAACATCATTTTTTGCATTGTCTGCACAGGTTAAGGTTGCATACATGTTTCAGGCGTCCAGGCGCGAAGTTTTAGTTTAGCGCGTCACGCTATGCGCGAAACAACTTGTGTGCGAAACCAGATTGTGCGTGAAACAAGCTATGCACGAAGCCTACCCGTGCGCGAAACAAGCTGTGCGTTAAACCTACGTGTGCGCGAAACAAGCTATGCGCGAAACGTGTCTGTGCGCGAACCCTTTCGTGCATACACCTCCGTTCGTGAACCTCTGCTTCACGCATCACATTTCGTGTGCGATCTCCGCTTCACACATCATCTGCACTTGAAGTTTTCTGTCGTCATCAAGTGCGGCTGCGTGTTTCAATAGGTAAAGGTTCATAATAATCTAATCTCCGCTGCGTACGTTTGCTCGTCGATGGAAGAAGTGTTGCGATGCTCCAGAAAGGAAGCAGGAGAGGCGTCACGGGAAGAAGTTTGGCAGAAATCAAATGCCCTCGGTTCGGACATTGGTGCACCGGACGAACTGGTGATCGATGATGAAGAAGAGGTGGCCGAGTTGGAGGAAACCCGCTTTGGTGCGTCGACAATCATAGCGTTGGTTCGACCTCCTCCTGAATCACCGTCAGGGTTGAAAAAGGTGCTAGGGTTCAAGAAATTTATTTTGCTTGTTTGGTTTTCTTCATGTTTCGTTTTAATTTGAATCTTTACTCTGTTTTGGTTGTACTGTGCTTTTCCGGCAAAAAATTCTAGAACCTAGGACATGTGATGAGGATTGTGATTTGCTTGTCATTGGTTCAGTTAAGCCCATAACGGGATCAGCAAATCACATAGCATCTATTGAGATGATTGATTCTAAGTCTGGTTCTTTACGTTCTGTTATCATAATTTAAGCCTTTTCGTTCAAAAAAAAGTAATATATTTATGTGAAATTTAATAAATTTATACTTTTATGATAATATTTTTAATAAAAAATATCCTCGTCATTTGCATATTATTAATATCATCATGCATAAATATATAATCCATCAAAAGTTAACTTTTTAAAATTGAAAATTTAAATTTGACTAAATAAGGGATATGATATATAGAAATTTTCCTTTAATATAATATACTAATAATATATTACCCTTTTCGTATTTCATAATAGAGGCTTTTTCAAAAATATTACTAAAATAACTATTCACATAAATATGACTAATAATTGCTACAATATAGTGTCATAATAATTTAAATTTAAAAATTGAACACGAGTTATGTTCGAGTCCCACAACGGAAAAGTTTGACTCAACAAAGTGCTATATTAAGACATGAGTTATTCCTCCTATCAAGGTTGACCATTAGGATGAAATCCTAGATCTTAACATGGTCTCAGAGTCAAACCAATCCATAACCACGGTGTAGGCCCCCTTATGAAAAATGACGACAAGATTATAAAAATGACAATGATGAACCGACGAAAAAATGAATATATTAAAACACCGAAGTGTCTTAATATATACGAAGTGTCTGATCGTGAGGAGGGGTGTTAGAATCTACACCGGAATAGTTTGAATCAACAAAGTGATATATTAAGACATGGATTAATCTTTCTATTAAGGTTGACCTTTTAGGAACCCCAGATTTCAACAAGTTACTATTGATGGAGTTATGGGACTAGGCCCAGAGCCTAATCGGCCCAAGCATCGAACTTGGACCCGTGGATCCAGGTCCACAACCTGGAGCCTGCCTACCACCAACGGGGAGCCTGCCAATCCGGCCGACCTGCCAGCCAGAAAAAGTAACGGCCAAGCAATTAATATGATGTTTAATTATTTATTTAATTCCGTTTAATGTTGTAATCAATTAGTCATTATTATCGATAGCGGTTACGAATTGTATAAGCATATAAAAGGCACGTTGTAATTCAAACTAAAGGAGACAATTTTCATAAGCCATTTCTGGCAACTAGAACTCCTAAGCACTTTCCTTATTTGTTCTTACTTTCTTGATTCCTACTTGAGTGTTCTTATGTAGCTTTTCTAAAAGCCTACGAACGTCCTATTTTGGACCAACAGCTATCATTTTTGTAAACAAAATTTATTTTAGTCTATAGAAATTATTTTTATGCTTGTGGTTGCCCGCGGGGGTCTGTTATCTGGTGTGATAACATGCGAAACGGCGTGGAGTACTGCTCCATTACTCCTCCCCTTCGGTGATGCTATGCTATTATTAGTGGAGTGGTTTTTCGCCCACAGTTTTAATGGATCCAAACCCGATTACAGCATACACGGATCCTGAACTGAAGACTGCCTAGGAGAGAGCAGCATCAATGGAATTCAGCCGGGTTGAATCTCGACCCGGACCCGGTTCCCCTCAACCCCATCGCCTGAACAAGTTTGCTTTTCTCAGTGCCGTTTTGGCTTCCACCAATTCTATTCTCTTGGGTTATGGTAAAAGTTCCTCAGAGCCGGATTTCACCCTTGGTTTCATATATTCGTGAAATTAAAGCGGGCCATTGTGCCAATTTTTCTGTTGTTGCAGATCTGGGAGTCATGAGTGGCGCGGTGTTGTTCATAAAGGAAACGTTCAAGCTTTCATCAGTTGAGCATGAATTGCTAGTGAGCTTGCTGAACGTTTCTTCTTTGGTTGGGTCTCTTGCTTCTGGAAAAACTTCAGATTTGATAGGCAGACGCTACACCATTGTCCTGGCTGCGGCAACTTTCGTAATCGGAGCCCTCCTCATGGGACTCGCCCCGTCATACCCCTTCCTTCTCGCCGGCAGGGTTGTCGCCGGCGTCGGCGTCGGTTACTCTCTCATGATCGCTCCGGTCTACACCAGCGAGGTGTCGCCGGCCATGACCCGGGGATTTCTATCCTCTCTCCCGGAAGTGTTCATCAACGTTGGCATTCTCACCGGCTTTGTCTCCAACATCCTTTTGGCAGGCCTCCCGGCCGGCATTAACTGGAGGCTCATGCTGGGCCTCTCCGGCGTTCCGGCGATCGGGATCGCCGTCGCCGTTATCCGGATGCCGGAGTCTCCCCGGTGGCTTGCCATGAAAGGGAGGCTCAGTGAAGCGAAGATGGTTCTGCTCAGGACTTCGGGAAGCGGAGAGGAAGCAGATCTGAGGCTGGAAGAAATAACGAAGGCGGCGGCGGCGGGTGGTGGGGGGGCGTGGAAGGAGCTTCTCCGGCCGACGCCTCCGGTGCGTCGGATGCTGGTCACCGCGGTCGGAATAAACTTCTTCATGCAAGCCTCCGGGAACGATGCGGTGGTTTACTACACGCCGCTGGTCTTCCAATCGGCCGGAATCAGCAGCAGGAAGGGGCAGATAGGGGTGACGATCGTGATGGGGCTGGCTAAAACCTTGTTCGTTTTGGTGTCCGCGCTGTTCTTGGACAACTTCGGGCGGCGGCCTATGTTGTTGCTGGGCACGGTGGGCCAGGCCGCGAGCCTTCTCGGGCTTGGGTTGGGCTCAACCTTTCTGCTGCGCTCGCATGAGAAGCCGGTATGGGCCATCGCGCTGTGCGTGTTGGCGGTGTGTGCGGACGTGTCGTTCTTCTCCATCGGGCTTGGGCCGGTGACGTGGGTATACTCGGCGGAAATATTCCCGCTGAGGCTGAGGGCCCAAGGATCGGCCCTGGCAGTTTCAGTGAACAGGTTGGTGAGCGGGGCGGTGTCGGCCACGTTTCTGAGCGTGTCCAGGAAGATCACATTTGGAGGGACGTTTTTTGTGCTTTCGGGGGTCATGCTTCTGGCGTCGCTCTTCTTTTACTTGCTGTTGCCCGAAACGAAAGGCAAGAGCCTGGAGGATATGGGGGCGTTGTTTGATGACCACAAACCCACCCAACTTCAAACACACGTCTAAGCATTTATTTATTAACCTAATAACGTCCTCTCTCCTTTTGTTATTTTTAGTGTAATACTCCGTATATGTATCGTCTCATCACGTAATTCGTTCAACCATGCTTGGGGATAGGGCAAATTATACCGTGGGATCGGCCCACCATGAGCATGGTGTGCCGATCCCAAACGACATAGTTTTATTAATAAAAAAGCAACCACCTCTTGTTCGCTGGCTAGGTATAGCCGGTGCTGCACTGCCACCGGTGCTGCACTGCCACCGACTTAGTTATTACGCAGCACAAAGGGAACGTAGCGAGCAACAATTCTTCCTGGTGTCTTGACAATTAAATCGCAAACCCTAGGAGCGGATGAAACTTCATGGTGTCCTGATGTCTCTTAACGTTGCTGCCATGAGGAACTTAGAAGCTATTTAGGAATCTTCTTTACACACACACACACACACATATATATATATCTTATACAGTATTGAACAATTTATATTTTGATTTGGCTCAAGTTATATTTGAAAATACACACAGTTACATAAATTTTGTTCGCGAGTTACAATTTCTTACCCATGGTTTACATCATTCATGTACGCGAGTTACATTTGAACTTGTCTTAGCAAGTTACATTTTGCATGAGCGTGAGTTATATTTTTTATCAAGGCAAGTTACATGTTCTATAACACGAGTTACATCACAAATGATTTACATTTTCCAAAACGCGTGTTACATCAAAATATAATGCGAGTTACACATTTTAATGAGCTAAGTTACATGTCTATTAGCGTGAGTTACATGTCAACTTTCCTAAGCAATTTACATAAACTTGCACATGATTTACATATTATTTAATACAAGTTACACCGCAATATAATTCGAGTTACACAACACAATAAGCCCCCTGATATTTAAAGAATTTTTTTAAATAAAAAATTATTTTTATGGGCTGACATTAAAAACAAACCATATACACTATTTATGTAAAATAATTGGGCAATTATACTTCTTTTTTTTTCATTATTTACATTGAAATCAATGTTTTACTTCTTATACTATATGTATTTGACAAGTTACATTACGACTGGACTTGAGTTACATTGATCAATAGCGTGAGTTACATTTCTTTACACGCGAGTTACACCATAATATTATTGGGACAAAAAAGATAAAAAAAAATTAAAAACTACTGTTCACGCGTGTTACTGTTCACGCGTGTTACTGTTCACGCGTGAATTTTTTTAATTAAAAGTTGTGCAAAACTACGCCGTTTTGAGTAGAGGAGCATGGTCCTCACCGTGGGATGATCCCACGGTATACGAACTGTGGGGATAGTGTTGGGCACAGTGGCGGAGCCAGGAGTTCGTGTCAATGGTGTCAATTTAGCAAAACAATATTATATAATAATGTGTACATATATATAAAGCAAAAAAGCAAATATTGTAATTGGTAAAATTAAAGTACTAATTCACCCACGACGCGTTTTCATATTCTGAAAACGTTGTACAATTTTTTCTTTGTCAACACTTTTGAATATATCTTTTTCAATAAAAGTAACTAAGGCATCATTCATCATAGCATCCCCCATTCGATTGCGCAACCTGTTCTTCACGAACTTTATGACTGAGAAAGCTCTTTCCACAGTTGCGGTGGCCACCGGTAAAAGCAAAGCTAATTTCACAAGTAAAAAAACTAATGGATACACAATATGTTTCTTTGTCTCCACCAATTTTTGAGCAAGAGAACCAACTTCTGTAATATCTATAAATGCAGAGTTGGAGCGCACATCAAGAATAAAAGTTTCAAGTTGACTGTCAAGAGCAAGAACATCTACCATTGAAAAGTCAAAAGGATATAATCGAGCCATGCGAATCAACTTGTCCTTGTCAAAAGATGAAAAAGTGTCTGTAGGACTAAGGCAAGCCACACAAAGAAGCAATTCTGTAGAAATCTCTGTGAATCGATTGTTCAACTCCTCGCGTTGTCTATCCACCACAACATAGAACAAGTCCACTTTGTAACGATGTAAGTTTGTGATTTGGATAACTTTGCGACGGACTCTCCCATGAGGAACATAAAAATCATTCATACTTGGAATTGAAATTTTATTCTTTTCACAAAAATAAGAAACTTCACCAAAGAGAATATCCCATTGGGCACAGACTGCGATCGAGGGTTTCCAATTTCAGCGATTTGGGAATTGGGACTGCTACTTACGGCGTTCAATAGTTTTTTTTTGCAGCGGGAGTTGGAGTTCAATCAGCGATTTGGGCACAGACTTTTCAATTCTCCTTTGCTGACTTTTCAATTTGGTGTTCTAACTTTTAAAAATATTAAATTGAGCCCCATTTTTTTAAATGTTGGATGGTGTCAATTTATAATTTATGAAAGATTATCTATACCTATATCGAGAATTTTTATTTTTCAGTGGTGTCAATTTTAAATTTTAAATTTGTTTTTATATACCTACATATGGGGAAAAAAATTCCAGTGGTGTCAATTGACACCACTGGCTAAAGGGTGGCTCCGCCACTGGTTGGGCATTGACGGTGGTGGGAAACAGTGGATGCATGCGTATCATCAGGGCCGTCTTTTAGAAGGTGCAATAGGTGCTTGGCACCGGGGCCTACTCTTGTAGAGGGCCTCCAAAAATTTAGAGGGTAGTATTAATTATAGGTTGATTTTTCTAGATTTCATGTATTATTCAAGATTTCAAAAGGCATATAACCTTTAAATTCTCTAATTTATGGACTTTAAACATCATAAAACTTATATTTCATTGAATTGTCTGTATTATTTGTATTTCATTGTCAAAATTTGCATTTTTCTTGTCTTAGGGGTCTCAATTTGCCATTTTAAACCGGGGCCTCCAAATTCATTAGACGGCCCTGCGTATCATCTTTAGTCCAGAATATATAGCTCCTTTTGAGATTACCGTTGACTCCTCTTTTCTTAGTTGGTTGCTTGATAAATTAATGGACTTGCCTTAAAATTACCTTTCTTTCGGTAGCTCTTTCCTACTTGGTCCCAATTAAGAGAAGTTTGCTCATGATTTACGAATCATCATATAAGGAAGTAATATTTATTTACTTAACACGTAGGCATGCAACGGTCATAATGTAGTAATAAAATATTCATGCAATCAAATATTAATGTAGCAACGGACATGATATTTGTAAGTCATGCTACAATAACGGTTTCTCCAAAAGAAACTTTTGGTCAACATTTGTAAAAGGCAGGATATTCATTTGGCAGGAAATTAACAAATACGGAATCCAGTAGCTATGAAAATCAGTTTTCTTCCTTTCTCAGAGTGGATTCAATCATTAAAAAATCTTTCCATTTAAATAGTGATTCCATCTTTAAGGCCAAGTCATGATACCGAATCCAAAACATAATTCGTCACATACCATAGAATTCAAATAATCATTCAAATAAAGGTCTCGATTAGAACCGAGAGAGGTTCTAGTCCTGGTCTCTGCATGGTTAATCACAACTAGTAAGGACCAGGTCTATCTTGCAAATAATAACTCACATATGTTTATAGATCAGGTCTCCTTTGTTTCTGCAGGGTTAGTCATCAACAAAACAACATATTCAACACACACCACAACAAAGTGCACGTCAAATTTGGCGTCGTTGCCGGGGAAAGACAATTTTTCTTTTTATTTTTTCTCATAAAAATCAAAAACAAAATAAAAATCTTACTCTTCTATTTTCTGAGCTTACATGAGTTATGAGAATATGGATACCAACACTTCATTCTCAGAGAGTCAAATTTCCTTCTTGACTTCTCTAAGGAATTTATCAGAATTCAATATAAGTGAGTGTCCAAAAATTATGAATTATAAAATTTTAGTGTCCAATATGAGATACAAATGAAACCATAGTGTCTAATTTGATCCATTTGAAACCTTAGTGTCTAATATGAGATTTTGATGAAACTATAGTGTCTAATTGAAAATTTTGAAAACACCCCTTTTTTTTTTTGTCAAAAACTGGAAATCGTTTTTTTCGCAAACATGCCCAGGACAGGCTTTACAGTTCCCACTTCCCACCTCCACCGATCAGCTTCGTTTTCTGCTGTGCGACGTCCCAGTTATTGGAGAAAAGGACCGTAGCTTTATCTAGCAAAATCTACGAATTATTGAGAAATAAAGGGACGGTTAGGGTATGGATGAGCTTTATTTGGAAATCCTATATACCCCCTAAATTCTCATTCATGACTTGGCTTGCATTTAGAAATAGGTTACCTACTCAAGATAGCCTTGGATATTTGCATATTATTAATAGATGTGACCTTTGCAAGGGTGACTTGGAAACAATGCCACACCTCTTTTTTCTTTGTCCATTCACTTGCAGGATATGGGGAAAGATCGGGGAATGGTTGGGCATGGACAACCAGATGACCACATTGCGAAGCTCGGTCAAGTGGATAATCAAGAAGTGCAAGGGCTCAACCTTGAAGGCAAAAGCGGTCCGGATTGCCTTTTGCGCCGCGGCATATCACATATGGCGGGCGAGGAATGCATGTAGATTTGATGACTGCTTGAAGACCGAGGATGAAGTTATTGCCAAGATTAAACATGTGGTGTATAAGATTCTATTTTCCTTATACCCACATGACCTGATCAAGTTTTGATAATGGGGAGCTGCGGCATAGTCATGGCTGCGCATAGCAACTTTTATGAAATTTTTGTTATTTTGGTCTATAGTTTCGACCTGAACTTTATGATCTGTGTGCGTGCACTATTTGCAGCACCGATGTATTTTTGATTTGTGGCAGTGGGTATTCAATACCTAGGCGCTTTGATTTTGATTTTTGATAGATCGAATAAAAACCCTTTTTTACCCCTACATTTGTAGGGGTGGGGGGGGGGGTTTAGGAGATCTAGAACCCTTGATGTATAGTTTTTTATTTGGGTGTTAATACAAATTTACATTTCATCCAAAAAAAAAAAAAAAAAAAAAAAGAGAAAAGGACCGTAGCGAATGGCACAAGCGGCGAGGCTGATCCTGCGAATGCAACAGGAGCTGAAGCTCCTCCTCTCAGACCCACCTCACGGCGCCTCCTTTCCTTCTCTCTCCTCCTCCTCCTCCTCCGCTCCCTCCCTCTCCTCCATCGACGCCGGTAAGTCTTACTCCGTATTATAATTCAGATACTGTCAATAGTTTCTTACAATTCGTCTCGAAATTACAGAAATTGAAGGCCCCGAAGGCACTGTTTATGCTAACGGATTATTTAAGCTTAAAATCCAAGTTCCGGAGAGGTAATTTTATGAATATATTTCTCATAATCTGGAAGCGGCAAGCAACTGAATCAGGGGTTTGGTCGATTTATGTTGTGCGTTGATTGCTAGTTATTAATTTTGCTTTTTATTGTTCGGTTCGGTATTCTTATAATGGGTTCAACTTGAATGGTTTTGAGCAAATGCTGCGGTGCGATTCATTGCAGGTACCCTTTTCACCCTCCTGTTGTGACTTTCGTCACTCCAATTTATCATCCGAATATAGACAATGGAGGTCGCATTTGCTTGGATATTCTCAATCTTCCTCCAAAGGTTTTCCTTTTTCTAATTCACATTCTTTTTCTTTTTAAATTCGAATTTCGATAGTTACTGTAAAACTTGCTTAGGGCTTTGTAGATTTTTTCTCTGACGATCTAT